GGATTCCAGACAAAATAGTTTAGTGTACTGACTTTTCAGACCACAGACACAGGAACAGAGGGAAAAACTAATAAAATGGCAGAAGGGACTAGAGTCTTGGAACTGGAGGAAGCACGGTGTTGTGTTTTCACAATCTCTAGTAAGAGGCAGATTGCTCTGATTCACTGAGAATTGGCCATTATAGAGGAAGAGGTGAAAATAATGGTAAAATCAGCACTCAAACCAGTAGGAGTGTGGGTTCCTCAAGCTGCCTTTGGTTACTAGTTATTACCATGGCATCAGGAATGGGAGTGAAGTGTGGGCTTTGTTCTTGAAACTATCTCCTCTTCAGGACACTCCATCCACATTCAGAATTTCAGGGAGAGCAGAATAGGACAGACTAGCTGCTATGTGGGCAGAGACAAGCTATGGAAGCTATCATAAAAGTACAGTAAGGACGGTCTTGTTAAGGGTGGGGAGAGGTTCTTTAACTTCCTTGAGACATCACCTGTCTTCCCAGTCAAAGACCCCCAGTCCCTTGCATGTTTTCCTCCAAAATGTCAAATCCCACTGTTCCACTCTGTCCTCGTGTCAGCAATACATCATACTTCTGTCTTGCAACCCCTCTAGAGGCAGGTAGGATTGCAGAGGTCAGTGGCAGGCTTTTGATCTTAGATGGCTGTATTTATTTCTCTGTTATTTATTTCTTCTCCCCCCGTATTCCCTACAGTAATCTTCCCCCTTCTGCAAAGGTTGAATAAAGAGGATAAAATTAGTGAGTCACAGTAGGAAAAGTTGCTGTCTGCAGATGAAGAGACAAAAGGAATTTTCTGCTGGAGCTTCCAACAGAGGCAAGAGGTTTACAGGGATCTCATTTTTCAGCTGGCTTCACTCTCTGGCACAAGAGTCCAGGGCTCTAGGGTACTGTGTGGGGTTTTTTTTCTCTGTTTTTGGAAGGTGTCAAGTAACGAAGTTGCCATGGAGCGTGGAGCGCTAGGTACACAAGAACAATGAATAACTACTTTTGTTGGCTTTGGGACCTTGAGGATTATTTGTGAATCCTCACTGGAGAAGCTTTCTTAGTGGAGCAAGAAGGGATTTGGGAGCAGAAGCATGAAGTAACCTTTCTGTGTTTGTATTACATGAGCAAGAACAATTGAGCCTCTCATGCTAGGTGTAAGAGAAATAACATTCCTAAAGAAGGGATCTGGAAAACTCGGGTGCTTTTCTGGATTGTTAAGTATCAGTTAACCACAAATTTGGAACAAATGCTTGTTGCAAAACTTTAAAAATTTATGGTCAGTGCTCAGTGATGGATAGAAAAATGCTGGAGCTGAAGTTCAACAGAATATAAACTATGCCAAGAAGAATGATATCATGGTTTGAGTATGTTGAAACTGATAAATTACTCCTCCAAGTACTGCCCTTCCTGCTGTCATATTCTCACAGGAGTAGGAAACGGCACTGTCATTTGCACTGTGCACTTTTTGCTGTCTAACTAATAGGATCTACAGTAAGTGGAATGACATAATTTGCATTGCATCTATTAGCTGTAGTCATTGGACAGAAGGTTTATTATTAGCTGGATTTTTCACTGTATACGTTTGGTCCCTTGCTATGTAAGGAGAATTGTACTCACAATTCCTTTTACCAAAAACGCAGTCATCATCTGAGAGCACATGTAACAGCAAAAGCCATGTTAGTCACATACATGTTGTCTTTGTAGAACTTAATTTTAAGATTATAAAATGAGAAAAAATGAATTTTTTGTATTTTCAAGGATCTTGCCAGTTGTCCAGTTCTTAGCTTCTGAAGTCTTGGCCTCAGCATCCCTTCTAGGATAAGTTTAAAATTATTGTCCAACCACAGCCTCTCCAAAAGCACTAAATGATGTACTTTTCAAAACCAGCTATAACTGGATAATAAAGTCTCACCACAGAAACTCAGTTTTGGGGGTATTTTTCTGTTTCTGTTTTTAAGGGGCACTGAATAAAGACTTTTGCATGTTTAGAGAGAATATTAGATACCATTTAAGTTCACAATAAGGAAGACTGCAGGTACTAGGTAATGTAATAAACTCTACCTATTGCCTGTAGCTCTCCACATACTATGCACTCACTGTGCAGCAGATCGAGAAGTATCTGTGCATTTGAACATTACTGGAGCCCTGCTAACCCTTTGGATTCATGTTACTATGAAAGCAGAAGCCTGGTGTTTTCCAATTTTCCGTCCCCCTATGGCCTAAACTAAACACTAAACCCAAATTCATCTGTATTTCTTGTCTTTTTTGGGTAAAGAGGGCTGGGGAAAAGTGTTCATTGTTATATGTCAACATGCTGGTGCTGGCAGGTCCAGGCTACTGCTGTTGGCTTTATGGCAAAGTCCTCCATTGTGTCACGCTGAAGCTTCATTCCTGGCACAAAAGGGATGTTTGAAAGAACGTCTCGTTGGGTTAGCAAATACCAGAACTTTTTATAGTAATATGTCCAAAATGCTGCTTGTATAGCAATTGTCACTTTTCTAAGAAAAGAAAAAAAGTCACAAAAAAAATCATAAAACCTCCCCATTTGATGCCATTACATAAGATTTCATTTAAGCTACCTCTCAGTGTGAAATTCAAACATTAGGTAAGTTTAATAAGGTTTTCTTACTGTTACAGTTATAGTGAATAAAGTTATAGTGAATGCCAAAATTGCAAAAGTTTACTGCCAAAATTGCAAAAGTTTACCACCAAAAAGGAAAAGAAAGTTGTCTTTTTTTTAAATGTGTGTTTGAAAGTATCCAACATTTTCAAGTTATTATACACTCTGTTATATTCTTTTAACTTCTGTAGTTTCAACCTTGCAAACTCTAGCTGCTGAACAGAAAATAAATCATAACCACAGGCTTTCATAATTGCAGTCTGCTGGGTAAAAACAATTTTGTATGCAGCTTTGTCATTTGGATATAGATAGCCTCAGACACCAAGTGTACCATTAATTTGGTTGTCTTTTTCTTCAGTACTCGAGATATGAACTTGATGAATGGTATTCTGTAATGGATGCGTGCCACAAAGTACATGGTCTCATTTGCCTTTTCTGAATTTTAATGATCAGTTTATTATTGCAGATGTGAATATTGTTCATACAGCTTAATTTCTGTATAATTGTATAAAATATAAATGGAAAAAATTATAAGTTTTTATCCGGTATTTAGAAATAATGTATAATAATAGACTTACGTTGCGGTTTTACTTACAGAGTACTGTACTTCTTTTAAACTGGATCATATCATCTTGATAGGCATAGATAGATTTTTTTTTTTGCATGAGTGTGTTTTGGTTTTGTTTCTTTTTAATTGAAGTTTGAGTCTCTTAAGTTCTATGTTCAGTGTTTGTGTTTACTACTTGTGATCATGTAGTCGTGCCTTACATTGTGAAAGAATTTAGTCCACTGTGCACTGTAATTCTTAAACTCTGTGATTTGGAAGGTTGCTGTGGATTTGGATGAGAAGATGACATCATGCATCAACCGGTTCTGTATAAATGATAATGAAATGTTACTGAAATGTCAATTTGTTTTCTAACCTGTTGAAGGAATTATTAATAACAATAAAAAAAATTAGACCTTTCTAATAGACCAGTTATGTCATTCAAAACTACCTTGCCCCATTTCAGGCAGCAAAGCTGCTTTGAAATGGGGGATATATAGTTTTTACAAGTGAACTGTTGCGAAGCTACATATCTAAGAACAAGCTAAACACTTCAGTTTCTTGGACTTAGGGGGAGCTGCAACAAAGGCTTTCACATTCCCGAGGACAGAGTCATAATGACTGTTTTTCAAATCTGTTTTTTTCACAGGTTAAATTCAGAGTAGGCTTTCCATTTGCAGTAGCTGTACAAGGTTGCTGGGTATCCCACATTTGGTTGGAGTCCTTCTGCCAGTGACTGTGTTCAGACATCACATTCAGACATCACAACTGGCATAACTGGAAGACTCAAAAGTAGCACTTGTTTTATTTTTTAGACTAACGAAAGTCTTACTTGTGAGATGGAAAGCTCCTTTGGGGTGGAACTGTGTTGCAGAGAGAAGCCAGATGATTAATGTGGGAGATCAGTCCTATGAGAGACACTATAGAATTGTGGGAGCATTAACAAAAAACTGTGTTTGGCTATTGAAGCAGATCTTGCTTGGGGGTCCGTGTTAAAGTGGACAAAGATGGAGAGGTCTCTGAAAGGCAATTTGAGTTGGGAAGTCAGTTTCTGCCTCGACTGTTTCCTGAGGCGTCTTTCTCTTGAGACCACAGAGGAGCCTGTTGAGCCTGCGTCTCCATGAAGACAGCCTGTGTGTGACTACTGTCCTCCTTGGAGACATGCTGGCCTCCTGGAATTACAGAATCTCTGGCACTACTTGTTTTGTAAAGTGAGCAGATTTGGCTTAAGGTTGTTTTGGTAAAAAATATACAGAGTGAAATACTCGCTTCCTTCTGCCAGCACTCAAAGCACAGAGCTTAGTCTGTCAGGTGTCAGCACTGGTTTCAAGATACTGTGAGCCTGTCCTGTCAGCATTGGTTTCAAGATACTGTGAGCCGCTGGTGAGCACTAGGTATGATGCAGTGTGCAGCTGAGCTTGGGATTGGGGACATGGAGCACGGCCATGTCAGCCAAGTTGTGGCTAAATGTTTGCAGCTTGTGTGGTGTCCCTGTGCAGATCTGCTGTCTGCACTCTGTTCTGCTCTCCTGCTTCACACATTCACCACTTGGCACGAAGCCTGAGTGGCTGTTCCTTTCCCAGGAAGCTTGCCCATCGTAGGCACAGGGGAAGAGCAGGAATGTGTGTATTACAGCAGCCTAGGCTGCATTTGGAGAGACTGAACCAGGTAAGTGCATACATATATATACATATATACACATTGTGTGATATTATAGTTTAGTAGGTAGAGATGCATAACTATCAGGAGCTATGGCTACACAATTGTAGTTTAATGAAATTTATTAATACAGTTTGAATGATGGAATAAGCCTTCTAGACTTCTCTGGTGAATGAATTCTCCTCACCAACACAGGGTTTTTTTCCTGTCACACTTTCTAGGAAATTACAAGCTGTATTAAAGCTTCCCTGGATGGACACAGTCTTCCCTAAATGAAGCAAAAGAGCTTCTAGGAGCCGTAAATTTGTTTCATGGCTCATTCTCCCCCTCCAATTTATTCCTACATGGCATGGTCTGAACTGCTCATTTTTGTCAAGTCAGAAATCTATTAGTTTCAGAAACTTAAGGCATTCTGGAAGAGATAACTGTGTTATCACCACAGCAATCTTCCACTGGCTGTGTCAGTGCAGTGCTGGCATTATTAAATTTCAGAGGATTCAACTGGGAAGCAGAACTCAGTGCTTTTCTTGGTTTCATGTCTTGTGGTGTAATTAGCAATTGCCATTTCTATCTGTGACTTCCATGCTTTCTGTAACAAGAAAAAATATTTGTAAACCAAGACAACCTAAAAAAATTCCATTAGTTCAGATGCATAAACACACAGAGCCTTTAGTTTTATTTAGCCTTTCTTCAGGCTCTTGCTCAGGCCACTACACACTGCTGGATTCTGTGTCTGTGGCCAGAGGTTTCCAGTGTATGTTTCCTTTTTGATTGGAAGGTAGGATTTGCTCTGTTTGCTTGTAATGGTGAAGTTTGTTGCAGGCTATTTCACCCATTTTTATGTGATGTTTATTAGTTCCTCTGTTCCTCTGATTAAGACAGCCCCAGTTCTATTTGCAAGTTCTGTTCCCTTCCAAGATCTACCATGTGCTGCCATCTGAATTCCAGTTTCTGTCATTGTACTGACAACATTCAGCTCTATAGTTGCTGTCATCCAGGCGCGAGGACAGGGGATGATGGCTGGAGAGATAATTTAAAATATGTAACTTCCTTCTCTCTCTGCTAATGCAGATGGTCTGATCACAGAAGCTGATTTGTCTCTGAATTGATTAGATATTGGACTACTCTTAAAAGGATTAATTCTTTGGACTAAAACCTTTAAAGGTCCCTTACAACCCAAACTATTCTCCAATTCTATGACATTGAGAAGATGGCAGCCCTGGTGTGAAGGCAGCTTTGAAAAGGAAAGGTCATATTTCAATAACAGGAAAAGGTAACAACTTCTTGAGTAGATACCTGTTCCAAGTACCAACCAGTGACTTGGATATGGAAAGAATTCACTAATTTCTTTTCCTTGAAAAAGTCTACTGCCATTTACTTTTAAGCATTAGTATTAGTGGTGGTCAAATTTCTGTGCATTAGGTATTGCAGAATGAAATTCAACTTACATGAGAAAGTAGAATACTGTGAAGTGCTTGACACGCTTTCAGATGTTATATACAGTGCTGTTACTAGAAATGGGATATGGTGTGAAAATGAGGGGCAAATTTATATAACAGCGAAATTAATCATACCATCTGTTCAGTCTGAAACTGCAAGATGGATGTTGTGCTAGATGAGCATGAGACAGTTTTCTGATCTGAGTACTACTGCATGTGAGTTGGTGGGCAGGGTTTGGTGTTGACTTCTCTGGAGGGGCTGACCATCTTCATTTCTGTGACACAAGAAGTGGCTCTTTGTTTTTTTTTTAAGCAATCAGAATTGATAATGTTTTTCAACAAGAATATGACCTGCTGTCAACCCTGATATAAAGCTGGTACATGTTCAACAGCAAAAATTCTGTAACAAATGTGTGAGCCAAAGCACTGAGGTGTTACTTTGTTTTGGTTTGGTTTTGGTCAATGTCACAACTGTAATAGATTCCTATCACAGCATGACCACTTTTAGGCTGCCAGGCTCCTTTGGGGAAAGTGTAGTTGTATAATTAGAAAAGAAAAAAAAGATGTGCTACTTACCTTGGCAGTCTCTGTTGGAGCTTGTAGCAAGAAGACCGCTATACACTGCCGATACCTGTTTTCATGCTGTATTAGGAAAGCATTTCTCAGGCTGAAGACTGTGGAAGAATGTGAAGAAGTGATATAGGTGCACCTCATACAGCTATCAGTCCCATTTTATATCACATCGATTATGATTGAAGAAATGATATATGGAATCATCTCTTCAATCCTGATAGGGTCAATTTTTTTTGTTGTGTGGGAAGCTTTCTTATTTCAAAATCTTAATTCTACTTGCATTTGTTTTATTTTTAAATACTTTATCATTGTGCAGCTAAGGTGCTTTTAAGTTTAACTGAGGATCATTAATAAATATTTCCCTTCAAAGTGGATTAATCATAACTGAAGTTAGGGGAGAACAAGTATCAAAAATTGAAGAGAAAGGCCCTATTTTTATTTTATTTAAATAAGTCCGTATGACGGCTGCCACATAGGGAAGTGGCTGCACTTGGGCTAATGGTGGGTTTGGGTTCTTCCTGGGTGTGTGCCTGAGCTGGTTGTCCTTCTGGGGATGCCCCCAGTTGGCTGCTGGCAGCAATATCTTGCAGGGCTAAGCATGTTGCCACTCTGTTTTCTACCAAACTTTTGGTCCTGAACATGACTTTGAGCATCATGTGGAAGGTTTCTTTGCAAGGGGACAAATTGACATGAATGTCACATCTGGAATGAAGGGGTGGCTTAAGTCTGCTATGAAGAAAGTTTAGGGGAAGAGGAGGGAAAAGCATCTTCAGGCAGTCAAAACCCTGTGGCAGACAACAGGCATACTTGGGTGGGCTGGTAGTAGCAGGGAGGGGGGCACAGCAACCTGTTTTAATGCTCTGGATTCACATGGCATTGCTTTTTTTTTTAACTGGAGTTGATGTTACTCTAAATGAAGCAATGGTGACCGAGGTGTGGGATTGCCTCCCTGTGAGCGCTCGCCCTAAGCAGAGCCCTGCTCCTGAATCCATGCAGCCTGAGAAGAGCTCAGATCTCAAGCTGCTGGGACAAGGCAGCATTTTTCTGAGCCTACTGCAGTTGACATATCTTTTTGATAAATTCATCTAGTCCATACAGCTTGAAGTCTTGTACTATGTACAGTATCTTGCTGCTGTGTAATGCTTCCTGTCCAAGCATTTCCAAGTGCTCAGAATGTTTCTGCAAGATGAAGAGCCCTATAATCCTAGTTTTCTAGAAAAGGGAAATGGAGCACAGACTGGTAAAGTACTGCAGCAAATCAGCAGCAGAAATTTGTAGCAGCAGAGGAAATATGTTTCTGAACTCATGCCTTCTGCCTGTCTGTGGTCAATAGGAAATAAAACTTTAGAGTTCTAAAAATGAATTTTCTGGGCAACGCTTGGCATCAAGGTCTCAATAATGTTTTCTAAAAGCAATTCTGTGGCTGTAAAGATTACCAGTCTTTGATACAGTAACATACCAGTGGGTCTGACCCTTTGAAATGTAGTGTAAACATTATTAATGGAGCAATAATAAGTAGTTACAAAGATTAAATCCAGAGTGGAATGATAAAAGGAAAGTGATCTTCTAATCAGAAATTATGTTGCTGCTTACAACCTTCAGAGATATGTTCCTACTGTAACACTTACATGTAAAATTACATCTCTTGTAACTTTGTTATGGTGTTTGCAGATAGTTCTGCTTTTGGGGTAGCTTCCTGGTGTTATGAGCAAACCATTTTACCTCTTATCCCTTCACTGATACATAGGTGGCTTTGGACTAGAATTATCTCGCATAATTTTTAGCTTCCTGCCTGCTGCCAAAAGGGTATTTCTATGATATCGCAACATATATATTTTTTCTAGTATTTGTATTGAGCCTTGTTTATTTCCAAAGTGAGTTCAACCCTCAGCAAACTAATGGATGCAAAAGTTAGATCAAAAATCAGGATTTCATTTTGATTAATGCGATGGATCACATGCGCTTTCTGAGAACATGCTAACTAATCTTTTAATGCTACCAGCAATGAAAGTCTCCTTGAGACTGCAAATAGATTGGCAATGTTCCCCAAGGTCATACATTCCAGACAATATTTAATTATTTTTTTTCCCCTGCAAAGGGACATTTTCTGTTGACACTAGAAGGTTTGCTTGTTGTTTTACGCAGAATGGTGGAAATCTGAACTGCAAGCTCTCTATAGTAATTTTTCTCACTATTTTTATTGTACCCCTCCCCAAGGGGTCCTGTATTAGGATGGGGCTTCCAAGTTGTTGCAAGACTACACGTTAGTAGCAGAGACTGCCATAGCTACAGCTGTAGCTGTAGAGAAGTCAGGCAATGAGGTCCAGGTTGCAGATAATGTCATAACCAGTGGACAGAACCTGGGATGCAGAAGGCAACTTTGTCTATTCTGATGCTGGATCACAAAGATAGAAAGACCCTGATTAGAAATCTCTGAATGTAGGAAATGCTGTCTTGGAAAAAAAAAATCCGAAAATCTTATTCCCATTCCCATTATGGATTTTTTGGCCAATCTTTTAGATGCAAACTGGAGGGTGGCTGCAGAAGCTGTTGACCTGGCACCTAGCCTGGGCTTACGCAGGATGTGGGGCTGCCCTCTCCTCCACCCTGCAGGCAAGAGGTGGCTAATGTGTTTGCTCTGTTTCTGCTGGGTTCATAGGGAGACGACTTAGGCAGGCAGGCAGACAGTGCTGGAGCACATTTTAAAAAGGGTTGTTATTCTGTGTTTATCCCCTTATCTCATATTTAGTCATTTGCCTTTTATTGCCTAATTTTATTTCTTCTCAGCATTGATGCTGAATGCTAAATACTCTGGGTGAATATATTTCAAAGTTATCATAAATTTTACAGGCTCTAGGTTTATTTTCCTTATCTATTGATTTCCTACAGAGCACTCTAGCTCCCTGAGCTTTTCCTCTGTCTTTAGGATTAGGATGACCCTGCAGCCAAGAGATTTGTATTTCTTTTAATTCTCTTTGATATAGGAGGCTGCTGTGATCTTGGCAGTGTTAGGCTGAATCACAGAACCATTAAGCTGGAAAAGACCTCCAAGATCATCAAGTCTAACCTTTGACCAAACACCACCATGTCAACTAGATCATAGCACTAGGTGCCATGTCCAGTCATTTCTTGAACACTTGCAGGGATGGTGACTCCACCTCCTCCCTGGGCAATCTATTGCAATGCTTAATCACACTTTCAGTGAAAAAATTCTTCTTGATAAACCTGACTGACCTGAACCTCCCCTGGCTCAACTTGAGGCCATTTGCTCTAGTCCTGTAACTAGTTGCCTGGGAGAAGAGACTGACCCCCTCCCTGGCTACAACCTCCTGTAGTTGTAGAGAGCAATAAGGTCTCCCCTGACCCTACTTTTCTCCAGGCTAAACACCCCTAGCTTCCTCAGCTGCTCCTCATAAGTCTTGCCCTCTAGACTCTTCATCAGCTTTGTTGCCCTTCTTTGGACACAATCCAGCGCATCAATGTCTTTCTTGTAGTGAGAAGCCCAGAACTGGACACAGTACTCAAGATGTGGCTTCACCAGTGCCAAGTACAGAGGGAGGACAATCTTTTCCCTGGTCCTGGTGGCCACAAAATTTCTGACACAGACCATTGGCCTTGGCCACCTGGGCACACTGCTGGCTCGTGTTCAGCCAGATGGCGACCAGGACCTCTGGGTTCTTTTCCTTTGGGCTGCTTTCCAACCATTCTTCCCAAGCCCATAGCACCGCACAGGTTTGTCGTGTACAGAGTTGTTGTGACTCAAGTGCAGGACCTGGCATGTCACCCTTTCAAAGCCTTGGCCCACTGATGCAGCCTGTCCAGATCCTTCTGCAGAGCCTTCCTACCCTCCAGACGATCAACAGTGCCACCCAACTTAGTGTAGTCTGTGAACTGACTAAGAGTGCCCTCACTCCCCTCATCCAGGCCTTTTATAAAGGTGTTAAACAGGACTGGCCCCAGTACTGAGCCCTAGGGAACATCACTACTGCCTGGCCACCAACTGCATGTAACACCATTCACCACCACGGTTAGGTGTGTGAGAGTCTGCATCAGCAGCTCAGACCAAGGGGAGGTCTGATGTTTCATGCCTGGTCCCTCACCCCAGCTCTAATTTGGTGACTTCAGGAATGTTGTTTTGGCAGGGTAAGGCTGGTCACTCTCGCTGGAAGTCAGTCCTCCTCTCCTCCTCACCCAACTGCACAGCACCAGTTATAGGAGGTCGTTTTTCTCAGTGATGCATTTGGATGTCTGAGAACAAGGAAGCATTGATGTGTGGTGGGTGATTTTCATCCTCTCAAGGACTGATGGAGAGGTGAGTAGGAGTAGCAACAGGCGGTAAATCTCCTCTCCAGCCTCCTTGAGAATGGCTTCTGTGCATGTGGGAGGACCCCCAGGAGAACAATGTAGTGAGAAAAGTGAAAAAATGCTGCATAACTACTATGGAATTGAAAATGTACTTGGGAAAGAGGCCCAGGGTTTGACAGAGCATATTAGGACAGTTAGGGCAGGGAAATACTTGGCCTGTGAGAAAGAAGTAATTTGAGTCTTATTTCCTCCTTTGGGGTGAATGGATAATACCTGACAGTCACTGGTATGTGTGTGGAAGTCACTGTTAGAGGCAGGGGGCCATGGGGTGTAAAGGCTGTGGCAGTAGCTCATGCCTCACAGCAAGAGCAGAGCTGTGAAGCCACAGTGGCTGAGGCACTTGTGTTTGCACTCCAGGCATCTGGGGGGGTTTGTGGACAAACAGCATCTTATCCTTATACTACCACACACAGAGTGCACTGACGTGGTGTTTATGAAGGCATTCAGATGCATGCAGGCACATACCTGTAACTTGGACAGGTTCAATGTTTTTCAGTATCAGTCTGTCTAGTGGGATGGGCTGGTCCAGGACTGTGCAAAATCCACCCTCTCTTATGAAGGACTGCAGCTCAGGAGTGAGGGAAGGACAGACAGAGATTAAGCTGGTGTCTGAGCCCCCATATTTCTGGGAATAGAAAATGAAGCTGGTTAGCTTGTTGTCTACCATCTGCTCATGAAGTCTAGGCACTAAAGAGCTCTAAATCATGTGTTTTCTCTTATCAAAGATATACAGACAGCTTATTTGCCTGAGGAATCTTAGAAAAACTCACTGGTACCTGGAGCTTTCCTGCAAGGTCACACCTTGCACCAAAAAGACACAATAGAAACACAATACAAATCCACAGGCAGAAAACAGCCAAAAACATTCAAAAGGATTTCTTCCCCTTCCCTCCTTATTTTAATAGCAGGTCTTTTTCTCCATTCCTTGGAGGTGTGTTTCACCATCTGCCCTCACATACATGCAGAAGATAGAAGATTCCCAGAGCTCCAGATGAGTTGCAGCCCTTCACAGAAGGTTCACCAACACATGTATGTGGGACAACCCTCGAAAAGACTTGCCCGAGGGTACCAGGTCCCTTGAATTTCTTCTTCCTTTACCACCACCACTGTTTCTAAGGGATTGTGCTGCTGGTCCCAGATCCCTCACTGCATGCTTTCTCTATCTCCTTTCTCTCTGAAGCAGAACACCTGCTTCTTAAAAAAAAAAAACACTGCAAGAAGTCTTTAATCAGACACAAACTTGTTGAGATTTAGCAAAGGTCCATTTAGACTTTTTTTACATCAGCTTCATAAACTGAATTAACTAGATGCACTCCTACACTGAAGCTTTAGGAATTTTGGGTCATACAGTGGCTTTCTTTGGTGGCTAAATACAGGTCTTTATTATTTATAGAACTCTATAGCACCATTCATCAAGAAATATTGTCTTGAACAGAGTCACTATATCTTAGCTTTGAGCTAGGGGAAATCAAGGCAAAGAGAGGACAACAGGCAATGTAGGAACTGAGAATAAAGCCAACCTTCTATAATTTTAGAATTTCCCTATTTTTCCTTTTTTTTTTTTTTCTTTTTTTTTTTTCTTCCTTTCTAACAATTCTGATATCTCTCAGATAAAAAAATCTCAGGTTACTGAACTGAGTCATCCAGGGAACATTAGAAAACTTTTTCCATTCTTGAACCTTTTCTGAGATTTAGGAATCCAGCATGAGAACAACATCAAGAAAACATTAAGGTCTTTTAATATAAATTTTCCTGCAGTACCATTCCTGTAACATGCTGAGCCTAGAAGCAGGGTTTTGAATCAGTGTTACGGTTTGCTGTTAGCATAAGGTATTATCACCCATTCTTCATGCTGATTAGTCATCTTGTGTTTTTGTTGTTAGATCAATCTGCTAAAGTACCTTCGAAATACTTACCAAACTAAAAAACATTACAACTGCAACCATGTATATCTCTATATATTATTACCTTTTTGTTACGTTTAATTTTGGTAATTAGTAGGAAATCATCGAATAGGAAGAGGTAGACATCAAGGAGTCTTGTGCTTTCTGAGAAGGAAAACAAAAAAAATCAATTTTACCGTGTGATTATTTTAAGGAATTGCTGCTTCTAAGATGAGGCATATCTGTGAGTCACTGCATCGTACAAAATGCTTTCCTCATGTGAGTCTGTGTCAAACACAGTAAATCATATGTTACTTGGTCATTTTGGCTACTAATAGTTGTGCCTTGTAGCAGCTACCTCATTGTGATTAAACAACTACTTGCCGGCCAGGAAAAATTACCTGGATCAATGTTGTACAAATACAACAATCAGCATGCTATAGATAGCAAATCCTGCCTGGTAAGCAGTGAAACTTGTGAAAATGGCAGAGAAACAGGGAAGTGCCACCTTTTCCTGGTATGCTACCCTTTTCATATGCCTTTGCAGTGATGAAATGTTAATTGATATCATCATACAAGGGTGATAGTAAGTGTTGTAGAAATCAACTTGCTTGTGTGGGCTCACTCTGCTACCTGTGGAGTTAATGGCATGTTGTATGAGAGCTCTGCTCATGAAAGGGAAGCCACCTGGCAGGATAAAACCTTCTTTTTCCAAGATATCTATCAGAACAGCAGACTTAGTAGAGACGATGTTGAAATAAAAATAGGAAATACCTTTGGACTCAGTAATATTCAGGGAAACACATACTAGACATGGTGCTAGAGCAGTGAGATATGTTGACATCAGTCAGTCCCCTGCCATGCGGGACACCTTGTATAGGACAGTCTAAACTGCCTGTTTTCCTATTTCCACATTTTTCAACAAGACAGCAAAGGCTTCCTTTGAGTGGCTGGTTTTGGCCAGCCAAACTGATTTCTTCAGCACCTGGCAGACTGAGTATCCAGATGTGGCAGTAAACAATCATACAGACTACTTATCCTTTTGGCAATTTGCCTGTATCTCAATCTCTCTCTGACAAGCTGTAAATTTGCTTTTTCTTTCATGCACCTGCCTATGTGCTATTGCAGAGGTTCATTCTGGACCTGCCATGACAATGTATAATTCTGTTAAGCTATCTCGCAACACCAGGACATTCAGGAACATTACCTGCTAACGTCAGCCTCCCTTCGTGAAGGAGACGTCTGTTCGCTGAAGACAAAATGTTTTCACTGCTGTTTTCTCTTAAGCTTTGCTTCAAACACTTGACCCAAAAAAGAGAGAGAGAAAATGAGTATTCTTGCATATTTGATGGTGAACTGGGAGGTAACCAGCAGTTAAAGAAGATGAGCGTACATGTGTTCATATCTCAGGCTAAATACATCACACAGCTGATAACTGAGCACGGCTGTGTTTCTTCAGCAGTGCTATTGCTTAAATGTATTTATGTTTTTGAAATGTTAAGCTGGGGTTTACTTTTCTGAAGTGAGTTTAATAGTTTTTGCAGCTCTGTATGTGAACAGACAAAATCCTTGAGGTGAGACTCACTTGATGATGTTACCATAGTGCTGCTTAAAGTCTGTCTATTTGGGTAAGGGTATAACTACAGCAGAAAGGTGTGATGTATAATTTTTTTGTAATGCTACTAAAATGTAAGTGGAAAGTTCTTTGGCTCAGCTCAAGGAGTGAGAGAGGCAAATAATTTCTAATTAATATCTTTGTAAAATGGTGGTAATACTTACATGTATCCCATTTCATTCTGTCCCCTAAAAGCAAATATTGGAGAGTCTTCCTGGACTGTATGATTGCACTCTCTTGGATGCTAGCTAAGCTGTAGTGGGTTGGTTTCTTAGATTTTTAGGCCTTCCTTAGCAACGGGGTCAGGAATCTAAGGAAGTATTCCATATAATTCCTTTCCGTAACACAACGTATAAAAAGGCGCAGATAAGAGAGTTCGCTCTCTTCTCTCTTCAAAGTTCTTTTCAACTTTCCCTTATGGTACCTGTTGGCTATCGGTCTCGTGCCCGTATTTAGCCTTAGACGCAGTCCAAAGTGGGCGGTGAACTCCATCTAGGGCTAAATACAGGCATGAGACTGATAGTTAACAAGTACCGTAAGGGAAAGTTGAAAAGACTAAGCGCAACCCGTGCTGTCATCCAAGGCACTGTGTGTGTTCAGCTACAGTGTTTGCAGCTGCTCCTGTTAGAGCAGAGCCATCCCCAGTAAATAGAATACAGACAACCAGCCAACTTTAGACCACATTATAAAGATAGATAGGAAACTAAATCCTCCCCAGGTTAAAAATGCCCTTTCAAATCTGCTTACCTCTGGGACAAAGAACCTTTTGTCACGATCCCAGACCTGAGGCCAAATTATGACCTCTTGCAGCTGCCTGAACTTCTGAAAGTTGTCCAGCCACTTGACTTTACCTTCCAGGTCCCCTGAAATGTGTGAAACCTCAGTTACTGCCAAGGTTGGCATAAGCAGTCCTGTTTCTAGAAGATGCTAAATAGTGATTTTCTCCAGTGAAACCAAAGTGCGTCACATGTGAGGCCCCAGATGAAATCTTGGCCTCATTGTAAAAAATGCCTGAACTCTTCTCAGATCAACAGGGACAGATTTTCAATTCATGCATTCAAAGATGCTTAAATTCACTGCTAAATGAAAAGGTTGTGTTTACTAATCTGTCTGGGGAACAGAGGAAATCATATAAAACTCAATAAAACTGTAATCTTAAAAAATATCTTTTAAAAGGTCCTGCCTTTCTAAACTGTGTGGTATAGTGAGAGAAAAATAATTTTCATTATTTACAGCCTGATAAAAAGACTGTTGAAATTACTGAGAATTAATTTTGGAGGAAGTGTTGCCAGAAGTGACTGAAATATTTAACTGGGGTGGGGGTGCCTCAGAATGTGAAAAATGGGGACTGTGTCATTGCAGATTTAGGGCCAATATGGGGAAAGCTTTAATGGACCTGCAACTTCCATTTCAACTTTTCGGGTTGAGTGATATTGCAGATGATGGTTTCAGACACACACCTCCCCACCAGAAGGGTAATGCTGAGACTGCAACTGTTCTTTTTGTCACTGATTCACTGATCAAAAAATGAAGGCAGATCCTTGTCAGGTGTCTGTGAATAAAGAGGGATCACCCCTCTATCTTTGGTTTCCCAGAGGTCTCTAATTTCTGAAAGGACCTATTTCTTTGCCAGTAATATTCCCTGGATATCCCATGGTCTTTTGGGGCCATACTTAAAACTGCTGTCCTCCCAGTAGACATCTCCAGGCTATCAGTAAGACCTCTTTATTTTCCTATGGGACCCGTTCTGTGCAGAAAAGCGTGCTTCTTGCGTGGCATTAGGATAGACACCTCATGAGACTTGGCAAGAAGAAAAAGAACCCGAGTCTCTCTTTTAGGTGGTCATTCTGTCATTGGGAGTATTTACCCATGAAGAAGTAGCCCCAGATTTATGTATCTGTAGAATACATTAACTCTCTCTCTTCCTCGTCTCCTGGGGAGATGCTCAAGCCTTCAGCCTCTGGCATGAGGAGAAGGATGGCAGCACAGAGTGGCCCACCATACTGGGTGGCTCAAGGCCCTGGTGTGAAGCTTGTGAGAATGAAGCACTATTTGGCACTTCTCCCTGTCAAGACTGCTGGGATAAGTGTTTTGCTGATGTAATGTCATGTCTGATTTCAGTGGGGACTGAATGAAGCCTTTGGGGAATAAATCTATCTGCTAATGAACTATATGACCATAAGACACTTAGAGATGCATTTAAAGCTTCTTGAACAAGACTGAGTTAATAAATTATATAGAATTAATAAATTATTTACCTAAAACAAAATGCAGGAAAAAATTAATACCTAGACCAACCCCTTATTTTCCACAATACTTAGAGAAAATCTGTAGCTGAGACAACTCTTCAGCTACTTTACATGGCAGAACCCTGTCATTAGTGAAAGGTCATGGACATATTATTCCCCTTGTGAGTGCAAACTTATCCTATTAAGAATCAGCCACAAAAAAATCCTCCCAAGACATAAATCCCACTCAAAGACTTCTTTGTTTGAGATATTTCTTGGTTTGTTCCAATTTGTGATCTGCTCTTAGTTGTTTGCCTGTCATGCAGATGATTCTGAGAAAATACAAGTGACTCAGTGATTTGGGAGTCCTGTGGCATTGCTCAGAGAAGCTTTGACAGCACAAGGTGGCCCAAGTAATTCCCTACAGAATAAGGCTCAGGACTGTAGAAAGGCAGGAACATCCTCACTGCATTTCTGCAGACAGACTGGACCAATTCACACTCCAAAGGACATGCACAAAAAAGCCAGGTAATTTGCTAGTTGGTAATTGCATACTTACATATGGACTTTTCCACTTTCTCCTTAAGTGACTGGATAAGGCCTTTCTCTGTTTCATCAGTGCTCCTCTTCCAGATGTTGTTAAGGAGGAGAGGATAGCGCGTCAGTCGATGCAGAGGAGCAACCAGCAGCTCTGGCAAACGCAACCTCTTGCACTGTTCATTTTGCTCACACCACTGCTGAAGACAAGGAAAACCTGCCTTAGGCTTCAGCTTGCTCCCTGGCTGGGAGGTAGCAAAGAGTTTTCTGCATCATTAGCTGACTCTAATGAGACAGGGACTAGTGAAACATGAGTTTCTCTCACTGCAAGGGCAGTATAAAGGCTCTTGTCATGGTTTAACCCAGCAGGTATCTAAACGACACAGCCACTCATTCACTCTCTCCTCCCCTCACCTCTGTGGGATGGGAAAAGGAACTGGGAAATAAAAAAATAAAGTTTGTGTTTTGAGATAAAGGCAGTTTAATAAGACAGAAACAGCGGGAAAAAGTAATAGAATTAGAATATACAAAACAAGAGGTACACAATGCTCACCACCCACTGACCTATGCCCAGACAGCTCCAGAGCAGAGGTCCCCCCAGCCAGCTTTCCCTCTAGTTTATATACTGAGCATGACACCATATAATATGGGATATCCCATGGGTCAGTTGGGGTCAGCTGTCCCTGCCATGTCCCCTCCCAACTTCTTGTGTCCCTAGATTCCTTGCTTGTGGGGTGGGGTGAGAGACAGAAAAATCCTTGATGTAGTTTACATACTACTTAGCAACAAATAAAACATCACTGTTATCAAGATACTCTCATCTTAAATCCAAACCACAGCACTATACCAGCTACTAGGAAGAAAATTAACAGTATCCCAGCCAAAACCAGGACAGTTTTCAACAGAGGGAATTGCAGCACTCCTCCAGATGCACTTTCTGCATTGCTGCTTTCCATTCCAGATGATGTGTCCATGCTATCACACAAAATGATGCTCTTATTTATTTCCTGTTTTGATTTTCTCAGGGAAATCTGAGAAAATTAACCTGAGTTAGGTTTGAAGGCCACCTTAGGTTTTAGGGTCACTGCTACTTGCCACTGGGGAACTTTTTCCTCGGAGTGAATGTATGAAATCCTTGTCAGGGAGCAAGCGATGAGAAACTCCAAGGCCCAAGCTGCAGTTGACCTGCTACAAGGACATGTCCTTCCAGTTTTGGGCTGCCAGTGAGAAAAGCCCACTACTTCAGGTGTCTCTTTCTAAACCTGTAATGTCGAGGATCAGTCTTAGTATTTACAGGACACACTGGTCTGCTAATGATATTGGAAAGAGCAGAGTCTTCTCCCTAAGATCTCCACCACTGCACTGGCTGGAGCTTTTGCAGATGTGGTGTCAGCAAAGACAGAACCTGCTCTAGTGCTGCAACTTGGTAAAGACGTCACTGATAGCTCTTTCCAGCCTTAGAGGGAGATAAATGCTTACTTAATGGTGTTGTTTTGAGAGAGAATTCACAATGTGGCTTGATTTTTGTTTCTTTTTTTTAATTCTGTAACCATTTCACTCTGTTAAAGTGGAGGTCATTGAGTCAAGGGATTATGTGCAAAATATCTAAATTACAGAGGCTAGTAGTATGTGTTTTCTACCTGCAAAAATGCAGCCAGTTCCTCCCTTTTGGCTTTCCCTTCTTATGTGGTCTAAATTACAAGTATAGACTTTCACATGTGCAGGTGAACATACACTCAAAAGGGGGACTTCTTATCGGTGTTAGCCTCCGCAGCTCAAAAAGTTGATGTGAAATGCTATCTACACAGTCTGAATGAACTTTCCTAGTCTGCTGTTAAAATCCTGTCATAAGGTAGGAGTTCTGAAGACAATAACAACAAAATCATCACTTTACTTTCAGGTAGATGCCAAAATCTTCTCTCAGTCTCAGTTTTTCCAAGTAGAAGACAGCAGAAGTATAATTAAGGCAATAAATCTGGTGTGTCTGGCAGAGGTCACCCTGGAAAAACTGCAAAAAAGACTTGGAAATTTATCAGAAAAGGAAAATATTATGACAAAAGGAGAAACAATGGTTTTGGTTTTGTAATATTTTACCTGAGATTTCATTGTACCTAGGAAAATAGGGGAAGAGGAAAAGGGGGAATTAAAAAAGTAAAGGGCAAGTTAAACAGTAATAGAAGTGTAAAGTAGTAAAAAAATCAGTCATGCAATGCATGGGAGCACAGTTCTAACGGCTCTGCAGAGGTGTGACACATTTTTAGACTTTGTTCTCATTAAGAATAAATGATGTGAAATTCATGTAGAAGTTGAAGATAAAACCACTACCTATGAAACAGCTTTGATGACTTCATGCAGCTTAGTATTTTATTGTTTGAGTATGCTAGATAGCTCTTAGAAATAATAGCATAACATCATTTAGGTTGGAGATGTTGAATGTTGTCCATCATAAAATGCAGTTTTGTCTGGGATTTTTTCTGTCTCACACAAACATTATCAATAAGAATGCCTGAACTCAGAGATAACAGGGTGAGAAACCAAGCTTTAGCCTACCTTTCCCTGTTAAAAATCTTAACACTCAGGTAGGGTCTGTTCTAGTATTTCCCGGAAGTTTTCTAATGGCCTCTACTGCTAGGGAAAGTTCAGGTCCATCAATTGATTTTCTGTCTGTATTGATATTTCCAACTTTACAAGCACTGGGAAGTTGTGTGGGAATTAGAGCTCTTAGAGAATTACCGCACAGACTACCCAAAAAGGTTTCAGGGCAAGCAAGGCTTGGCAGCAGCAGGGCAGTTGTGTTTCTGCCTCTCTCTTGCTTAGCAGACACAGGCCAAAGTGTAATAGGTAATACCTTCCATAGAGCAGGAAGCTCTCCTCTGCCAGTGGCCAAGACTCCTCAGGGTTTGGGCTGCTCTTCCTCAGGAAGGGAAAATCTTTCCACACTTTGTTCCACATACAGAGTACATTTCCACAACTGCTTCAAACATGTTAATGAATAAAAAGAAAAATGTCCTACTGATAGGAGCTGCTTGAGGCTGAGACCAAACTGCCTGTGACAGACTGCATGTCCTTGACTGACTTGATTGTTCTAAAGCACCTGCATGCTATGATGAATGGTCTGCTGCAAGGACTTACTGCTATTGAAAGCAAAAATATTTCTGATTGCATTACCATTCTGAGTACGGAGCTGAAATCCAAGGGAGACTCTGACTTGCTGATATGCTCCTTCACAGTTTGAAAAAAAGTTTTCAGAAAACTGAGACTTATCTAAGTAAGGAGGAAAAAGAGAGAGATTAACATCAGTGACCTGAAGTTAAGATTAAAACAACTTTCTTTCCCATTCCTGGGCTCTCAAAAGGCTCCAAGCCTAGTGGGTGTCTATACTTTTCTCTCTGACATTGCCAGAATTATCTTCAGAATTATGCCCAGAATGCTTGAATTAGTTGGAAACTAAAACAAATCTATAGAAATACCCACTTGTGATAAAAGCTTTGAAACAAGATTAGTTATTCCATTTAAACTAGTTTTAGGGTAGCATTTAGTATTTAATATAGGTTGACATGAAAATTGTCAATGGATGAAATGGGTGACTGATTGTTTGTGTCATAGGTGTGACAATTAAGGAAGCCTTCAGAGTCATTTGAGGAAGAAACCATCTTTCATAGTTTGAGTTTGCCTCATGCAATTGAAGATAGAAGAAGTTTCTATAAAATACTACAAAAAGTCACATATTCCCCATAAGTTTGAATTGGACTCAAGAGTGCCCACATTATAGGTCAGAGGGGAGTCAGAGCCTGTTCCTAAGCCCACACTTGCCTCCTGAGCACAATATTTTCACACGAATTCATGACTGGGCTCAGTTTTAGGCCAAATTTTAGGCCAGAAGGGCACGTCATCCACTGTGATACTGCTAGGGACTGTTGTACCTGCACACTGCTTTGTTTGATGTGTTTTTGGGGGCAAGGTTGCTTATAGGATGATACCTATTCTTTAATTTTGACATTTACATCTTTTACAGCATACATTTTTTCATGGATTCAGCCTGCTACCAAGAAGAAACACATGCTGTAAAATTCAAGAAAAAAGTCATAAAAGGCATTGACAGCAGCTACTTTCTCCTACATTTAATCACTATTTTATATGCCAGTACGCATAACAGATGATCATTTGTCATCCTCATTAATAAGGACAACAAAATTAGAAAGTAAAATAGGAAATGTATTAAAGATAATTCTCTCAAGACATGACCAAGCTCCAGCCAAGCTCAGAGCACACAGCAATATATACCACTCTCTTCTTTGAATGAGAACAAAGAAATCAACAGCCACAGATCTGCTGAACTCTAGTAGTTGCCTGCATGTAGAGTCTTAGTCCACAACAAACAAAAGGTGAAACATGTCAGCTAAAAATCTCTTTCCTTTTATCTCCAGACCTGCTCGGTTGGTCATTCTGCAGCTCACCAGGTGCATGGTCTGTCACTGAGCAGCAGTGCCTTGCTCATGTGTTTGAGTTCTGGTTAATTGTCCCTACTTTGAAGACCTTTCCCGATTTTCTTGTTTTGGCTAAAAAAGGAGATACTCACTACTAAGGCAAGGGAAATACAATACGGGAAGAAGCTTGAACTCAACAACTGGTTTAGGGCAAGTGATGTGATTGTGAGCAGTCATTCAATTAAGGCAGCTGAAGACTGTTTTCCAAAATTCATTTTGCTGTTAAGCGTAAGGTGTCCTGTAAAAGGGCCCTCAAACTAAGAAAAACTTCTGTTTTGCTTCTAAAGTAAAATGGATTTATAGTTTTCTTAACTTTCAGGAGCTGAAAGTGGTCTCTCAGCAACTGGCCAGAAGCAGCAAAGAGCTGGAGCACATCACAGCCAAGCCTTGTGGTCTCCCTCCTCCTGGACCATGGGAGGTAAGTAGCACATGAACACAGAGCATCCAGTCTGTGTGGGAGAGATCCTTACACGCATGCCAAGGGAAACCTCAGCTGCAGAAAGGAGGTCACCGTTTTGTTTTATCTTGCTTTATTGGAGTGGCATAATAGACAGCAAAGTCTTTGTGCCTGTCTGTTTGCAAAAGGGAACTCATTGTAGCAGTTATTTTGCCATGCTTACTGTTTTGCTGTAAGGATTGTGTAGGAGGAGTTTATCTTCACAAATCCTTTTAAAAGGTCACTGCTTATGAGAAATAGTCTCAAACTTGTATTTACTTCATAAACAACTGCCAAATGAGCTCTCCTCTGTGTTTAAAATGCCTGTTTATCTTTTGCTGGAGACACAAGAGAATGATTTGCACTGGTTATATTTGACCCTCACTGATATACCAAATAGAAATGAGAACACTGATTATTTGAACAAAGTTCCAAATGTGAGCACTGAAACTGAATAGAAACTTTATGGATGGTTTGTTGTCTTCTTTTATTGGGCTGGTTGATTTCTGATCTCAGTAACACTTCTGTTTTTTTACTCACCTTGTTTAACTCCTCTAAGTTTGCAAAAAGTCTCCACAAATCCACATCCAAGAGAAACTCATTACTCTGGAGGTATCTTAGGGTGTTCATAAATATCTTTAAAACCAAAAGAAATTCATATTATATACAATTTGTGCCAATTCAATGTATCTTCCCCCCCCGAAAAAAAATATTATGTATTTGTACTGTAATTATTATGAAATGATCATTTGATTTGGGGAGGGCAGAATATGGCATTCTGAGAAAAGTTTCCTGGTCTGACTGAAGGCTAAATATTGGGGTTTGTGTGTGGAAGAGGGTATGAGTGATGTCTCTGTGGTTTCTTTGTGGCTACCACAGAAGCAGCTATGTCCCTGCTGTGACCTCTGGCAGAAGAGGGGCAACTGAGCCACCTGAAGATTCCCTGCATGAAGGAATTAGTAACATCAGGGCACAGTTACACATTTCTATGACCTTTCTAAATGTTTTCCTTCCTATTCCATGTATTTAAATTGTTTAGGGTTACTATGGGAAAAAAAAAATATTGTTGGAATAATGTAAGTAGAGGCCCTGTGAAGATTTTTTATCTCTTTGGATTGTTTTATTAACCTCCATTGCATGAAAACTGCATGTGTATTTATTAGCTGTTTAAGATTTTATGTTATTTAAGCTGATTGAGCTGTACTGAATCTGACCTAAATCTGAAAAAGGCTTAAAATTTATGGATTACCAAATAGATTTTTTTATGTGTAAAAAGCATTAATGAAAAACCCATCACCCAGTTGCCAAGAGTGAATAGCTAGTGAGAGTGTTTGCTTAGCCTTGTGTAACTCTCTAGTTACCATGAAGAGGTTGACCTGAGAGCTTAAAGGGAATTTATGGTGGTCTTAAAGCTCCCTGTGGAGATTCATTAAAATTGGTGGAATATTTCTGTGCTTTGAAGCAAGTAGGTATCTGTAAACTGGTTACCCAAATGCAATGGGTTCTTTGGCAGGAGAGTTTGGGAAGTTGGCGTGGACTGAATAGTTCATCATTCATGGGTCATGCAGAGCTGGCTAAGGCTTGTCTGTGGTTTCCTACATCAGACTCACCAAGGGGCCTACATGTTTGCTATTATCATCCCTCCAAGTATTCACCACTTTTTAATCTTTTCAGCTTTCTGAACAAAGTGTACAGAAGGAAAGATCTTTCCTTCTACCTAGGACCAATAGCTGGTCCTGTCATTCCCTTTCCTCCTACTTCCTGTCCTGTCCCATCAAGGAGGAATTCAGCCCACTCCTCTGTTTCCACTACTTTGCAATACTTCTTGTACTGTCCAGGCTAGCTTTTCAGCAATATGGAAAATGTTTCACAAATCTCTTTCCTTTGACTAATAAAAATCAGAAATTGTCTGTGCAGAATAAGAGAAAAATATAAGAAAATATTTATGGAAGTTTCCATCTTTTTAAATGGATACATTTAATTTTGATGTGTAGTGACTTTAAATAGTGCAGCTATTCTTGTAACTGTGTGTAATATTCTTGTTCATATTGCAAGCTCTTCATTAGGATGGAGGTAATATAGATTTTTTGGGAGAGGAGTTGCTTTTTATATGCTTGTTTTCATGTAATATTAGGACTACAGGTCTGCTGAGTTCTGAGGATTTCATGCTCTGGTCAGGATAATTTAGCTATAGCTCTATATGAAGTTAAACGAAGAGGATAATGTTCCATACTGGTAGTACAGAAACATTCAGTTGAAATAGTCCAGTACAGAAATAGCCAACTGGAGAGTGGCTTCAGTTCAGCATTTGTGAGAGGAATAGTGGGATATCAGTTGAAATTGCTGAATGAATATGAAATCAGATGGTAATTGCAAAGCACTAGATTGCATCACTAGAAAGTGATGTTTAGAAGAAATATGCCAAAATAAAGGTGGAAACCAAAGGGAACTGTGAAAACAGGATGAGTGGGCAAGATGGGAGAAAAACCAAGTGCTTAAGTCATTCCCCATAGACACCTAATGAGAAATTTCAGGTGGCTTTGTGTCTGTCATGCTGACAGCAGAACAAATAATGTAATTATTTTTGTGAAGTGAAATCTGAAGTTACCATCTTGAGAACCAACAAATGATCCAGAAAGTAAGTGCATTCACTTGTGAAAAGTTCCCACACTGCTGCTTCTTTTTTCACTTCTAACCGGCTGTCGACATCTTTCTGCTCAGTCTGTTGTCCATTTATAAATTCATGCCAAGATTTACTCTATTGATTGAAGAAGAAAGAAAACCACCAATTGTTTCATCAACTGCTTCAGACCTTATGAGAAGAATCTATGTTTTATTTCCTGTATAAAGAGCTCATCTGCCAGTATTAGTGATTTTTCTTCTGAAAGCTTAAAGATTTCTTAAAAACCTGACATTTTTCTCCAAAATATTTATAATATAAACACAGTGAATTTGAAAGTAATTCAGTAGGATAATCTATGTTTGTGGGATGTTGTATCAAAAAATAGCGTGCAGCTTGCAGACGCTAAGGAATTGAATCTATCGTGCTGCTGTTGGAAAGCAGGGATGGACAATAGCTTCTTGTTTTCCGGATGATAAAATCAAGGTACCAAAGGACTATGTCTTCATAGTCACTTGGAAATTGTTTTGTTTAGTCTTAAGGTGGCCACTATCATCTCACTGACCTGCTCCAACATCAGTTGTCCACATATAAGTTAGGTACTGACAGGAGTCCTCAACTACCGTGTCTCTGGGAAGCTGCAAATAACAGCCTGACATGAGAAGCAAAAGGTTGGCTTTGGAGAGGGGATAGTGTTAGGTGTGGGTTATCTGAATATCACCCTTGTAGCCCAAGCTTGGTGTTTCTGTGGCTAGAGGCCAGAAGCCTTGTTTATCTGGCAGACAGGTTTTGGTGGGATTTCTGCAGCCGAACCTTGGTGTTAGCACTGATCTCTCTGTGGCTGCCCCTGAACACAGCCCTAAGGCAGCAGTGGGGGTGACTATTCCCCAAGTGACATCTCTGTTATGCTGCGGTTTCTTTCCCCAGACCTGCATGTGCTGCTGAGAGGGTTGTCTTGAGGCCTTTTTCTGAAGGTGATACTTCCCTGACCTAAGACAGTCTGAAACCCTGGCAAAATCCAGATGGTCTTGAGGCTTGCTAACCTTCTATGACCCTCAGTTTCCCCCTCACCCCTCCATTTCAAATGACAAAAATATACCTTATGTATTAATATACCTTATGTATTAATGTAACTTATGTATTAATTTTACAGAAAGTTTATCCAGATTAATGTGCTGAAAAATGTTAACTTAAAAACAACACAAAATTCCTCCCCCATTGTTAAATATCCTTGATACAGCATACTGAGTATTTTGATACCTTAAAGCAGAAAAATTCATATGTGCAGCAGTCTACGATCTTAACAGTTGAAAGACAATTTTCCAGATCAGATGCTTGCTTCTGTTTTTCTTTACCCTGTTGAATGACAAAAAACCACCCCTAATTCATACTATTGAAGTTTGCCCAGCTCTGTAACCTTGCTCTAATCTGAAAGAAGTTTGCCCTTCAGCGAGTGGTTTCCTTATACTTCCCAGCTCTCCTAAATAGAGGCAAGGCATTGATGACAGGTTTCTTCATACGTAGGGGTGCAGTGTGTAGGTGCCTTACATTTGGATGTGTAAGATCTTATTTATGTAACACAACTACGCTCGGAAAACTGAACAAATAAGATATTTTGCTTCCTTTAGCACTGTCAGACATAAGTAACAACAGATTCGTAGTTGAAATCATCCTCCTGATGTAGATATAAAAAGTTACACATTTGTTTACTTCTTTATTTTTATTTTTTTATTTGAGCTATGTATTGAATAAGCTTCCTTGGTCAGCTGTAGAGTAGTGTCTGTAAAATGAGCTTTCAGAAAGCTTAAAGGGCAGCAGGAGTTTGTGTGAGGGATCATGAAATAAAAACAATTGCTTTTGTTTTGGCTTTGTGTTTTCAGGCCATGTAAAAAGTTTAATCATTATTTATGAACTAACTTAAGTGCTGTGGGTGCAGACTTATAAGGTGTTTGCCTGACTTTTATCTGCTCTCTGGAACAGTATATTATGTGGATTTCTATTGTCTGAACTTAAGGCACTGAACTCAAGGCACTGAACTCAAGGCACTGAACTCAAGCCAATTTTGAAACATGTGTTTGATTACAATATTTGAAACTCAGAGTTTAAGTTCAGCTCTTAATTTTGAAAGACAGCTTGAAATGGAGCAGAAATTTATGGAATTTAATAGCCTCAGAAATCACTTTTTTTCTGAATATCAAACATCAATATTTTATTTCAGATTTCAAAAAAATTACCAAATTTAAAAATTCTCAGTTTTAGGCCATGCTCCTTCAAATGCTATAGAACTGCTATTAAAAGAAGAGGGAACTCTTGTACTTACATTGGTTTCATTTGCACCAAGTCTTCTTCGATAAAATGAAAAAAATATTGGAAAGGGACTGTTCACAATTACATGCTTGGGGGGGGAAGTTATCAAGACACTTGTAAATAATTTTTTGAATCCCAAACAGTATGCAGAAAGGAAATTCAGATACCTCAGTCAGTGAAAGTTTTCATAAATGGAAAAGACAAGGAAATGTGTTAGACAAGGACATTCACTGAATTGTGTTAGTGTGTATGCTTTTATTGGCAACTGTGAGGGCACCCATGAGGACAAAAAAGGCCTAAGAAAGCATCTGAAAAGCTACTTTGACAGGTAAAGCTTAGATTTCTTCCATGTGAGTGGGTGTTCTGCAGACACTCCAGAGCCCTAAGACATGCAGAAAATACAGGATACACTATGGTCAAAGCAACAATGCAGCTGACCTGTCCACTTTTTGCTACCTTACCCTGCATTGGACCTGCTGCCACCCTTGAACACTCTGTTAGAGACCTCCTGCATTGCCCATTCTGCTCTTCCCTCCTGGTGCCACAAGACACCTCTCCTCCCACCGCCCACAGGGATAGGGAGCAGTGGCACTGACTCTTTTCATGTGCCTCATGGGCAGTGGCACTGGTGGCTGCACTGGTGTCACCTAAGCTTCATTGTAGATTAATGTCCAAGCATTCCAAGGGTGAGTGGGCTGAGACCTCTGAGTTCAGCTCACCTGCTGGCTGCCTTTCTCCAAGAGCGGAAAGTAAAGAAGCTATTTTTACCCACATTAGTTGTTGGAGAAGGGAAGATTGGTGCAAGGAAAAAAAAAGTAAAATACTCACAACTCCTCTTTTGACAAATGGCCACCTTGACTTTTTGGACTCTAATGGGTAAAACAAATATTATCAGTAAAGAAACAAATAGCTAAAAATAAAACTGTCATTTATATTATTTATATATTTATATCTATTTATATATTTATTTTTGAGTAAAGCTTGATAGACTATACTCTACTTGACTCAGATTTAATACTTGTGTTTGGGCAGTTTGTGCATCAAACTTAAAACCCTAGGTTGTTGGTTCCTTCTAGCAAGAATTATGACTATCCGTGATGGGATTTTGGATGATGCTAAACACTCCTACTTGTTGAAGATGATCAGTATTTTATTGCCAAATCTTTACATGGGAAAATCCTCATACCTCAAGCCAATTCTTGAAGATATTGTTTTGAAGCAAGAATTAGTCCATGCATGCTCATTAGTGATAATTTGGAGTTATGCAGAAATTCAGAACTCCTGTGAATAAACAATCGTACAAGCCCTAAGCCTCAGATCTGTCATGGGGCTGGCACCATGGAGCTGGCTTTAATTTGTGGTCCTTGCTGAGGAACAGAGAAAGATGGGGATTTAGATTTAGGAATGCACTGGTGAATGGTGGGGAACGACTGTGTTCAGCAAGCAATCTGAACAGGTTTTCTGTTATGTGGCACCTATTTTAAGGTCTGTGAATGAGTGGAAATCACAGTTAAAACTTTGTTCTTCTAGTTTTTGGAGGTCTTGGCTGTTCTGGGAGTGGCTGGCTTATTTGCTGTCATGGAGCTGCTGGTTGTCACCTTGATTGACTTGCTTTTTGAGAAACTTTTGATCTCTGGTCACCAGGATCTTTGGTCTCCGCTAATCACACTTCCCACATTACTGTATTCCACAATAGATATTTGTGGAAATTGCTTGCAGATCTACATTTCAGTTTTGGAAGGTCTTGTGAGCAACCTCTAACCATGAATTGGGTCTGCTACCCTTGTCAGAACACTACTGGAAAGGGCAGTATGGGCCACTTTCTTTCCTCTGCTTGAAGCTGTGAAGGTAGGAAATTGTATCTCATCTGCTTGCATTGGAAATTGAATCACTTTGATGTGGGGTAACAGGATTCTCCACGGAGGCTGCACTGCCTCATGTTGTCATTGTTCCCATACTCCCTCCCCATCCCACATGCACCCATATTCCAGTCCTGGCTTTTGCTGGCTCAGAGGAGCAAACCTCTCCCCCCTCCCACGTCTGACCTGCACTTAGCAGGAAGGGTGAGTAGGGCAGGTAGTCCATGGCGCTGTCTGACACCAGGAGGTCTCCAGGGAACACCTCGAGTCCCGGCAGACTCACTACCAGGGAGCTACGCCTGCGCTCGGCTGATCTGTGAGACGCAACAACAACACACATCATCTCTCTCCGCTTGAGGCTGCAGAAGAAACTTCTGAAGTGCTCCTTGCTGATACAGGAGGCAATCAGCTAAAAAACCAAATCACAGTAGCTATGACGTGATGTGTTAAAAGAACGAGTAAAAAATTTCAGTGATTAGCAGCAAATATCAAATTGTCTTTCAAACTCCTCAGTGGTGCTAAGATCAAGGTGCTTAGGGACATGGCTTGCCTCAGACAAATGATCAGAGCATTTAAATATTGGAAATTTCTGAGTTCTTCTGAGATTAGGCAAAAAGTGATTGGGGATTTCCGAATCTACGTTTTGGCACTGGAGTCCAAAGGAGCAGTAAAATACTATATTCCTAGCTGATATATGTGACTTGTCATTGCTTTTAACCTTCATATAAATCAGATGATTTCAAGAAAAGACAGCACACTAGAGAAGAGTTAAAATGTTGGGTTTTTTTTAAAAAATATTTAACCTTTTGGCTGGTTTGTGCTATTTTCTTTCTAAATCTTTTTGGCATTTTTTTTCTGCTATTTCAAGTATTTTTTTATTTTGAATGTAATAAGACTTAGTAGCCCTACTGATCAAAAATAAATGGCTCTTTCGAACTATTGTTGCTCCTAACAGAGAGCATTGTCTGAGATGTAGATCCATCAAGGAAAGTGACACAGGCATTCTGTATCCAACGGCGTATTTGTGCCAGAGGCTGCTTGCATTCACATACAGAAACTGTTGGTGCATACCAAAAACCTTTTTGGATTTTGCTGATAACCCACACTGATACCAAATTAATTGTGTAAGTATACTGCTGCAAGGGGACTGGTGTCTACAGCTGCTGTTGTGCTGCCTTCAATTGACTGACACATGAAGGCTGCATTAGGGTTCAAAGGGTCAGTAATTAAGTAGCTGAGGGAGGAGGCACAAAAGCGTGTACATATATAAAAATTCTATTTTTCAGTCACCACTGGTATTTTTGGTCAGATAAGTATGATTCTTACTGGGATTTTCTTTTTGCCTAAGCAGTTACCTTACTTTGAATATCTAACCATTTGCCAACACTTGATGTGAAACCTGGCAGGTATATTTTTCCCCTTAAGTGCATGAATAGTCACTTGATAACTTATCAACTGGCAGATGAACTCTGAGGTAGAGAACTGGGATTTGATGTGTACAGTAGGACATGGAGATTATACTTTTTTTTATGATCTGACAGTGGCATTGCTTGCAATTGCCCCAGCTAAACAATCGAACGATATGGATGAAAGTTGCTTCTAACAACAGAGAGGGCTGAAGGCTATCAGGAGGGCCAGGTCTGGGACCTAACACTTGAAGGATGGACATATTGGGGCTTGAAAGCTGTGTGTTGAGGAGGTTACAATGTGCAGTGCAGGAGTTCTTTTAAAGTTTTTCTGGCAGTCCTACTGAATGGGGAACATAGGATCTGGTTTTTTAGCTTTAGGATTTATAATGAAACTCTCACATTTCTCATGAAATTGGCCCCCTAGCATGTAGTTTGAGAGGTTTTATGCATGGGGTCTGTTTCTAGGTTGTCTGCAAACCCATACCACTACAAGGGAAAGGAGTGCTCCTCTCAGCAGTACCTTTCTGAGAGGTGTGTTGAGTGCTACCCAATGCGAATTTTCAATATTGGTAATGATTGAATTAAGATGCTATTGAAACCTAACCATTTTATTAAGATGCAATCTCTTGGGCAGCTGGGTTGTTATACAAGTCAGATGCTGCAATATAATACAAGGATAATTCTTAAAGGTGTTATCACTGTGCTAGGAAATTCAGATTTATTTCAGGTTGGCTTCATGGTAAAATTTTGTCAGTGTATTATTGATTTTTAAAGTACCTAGCCTGCTACTAATTTCATAACATATCTGAAGCTGAGGGCTAGTGGCTTATGAAGATAAATAATGGGAAGCATAGTTTCACTGTAAGTGAGTTAAATGACATTATTTCCCCAGATCAAAAAGGCCTTGAACTTCAGGCACACATATGGCTAAACAAGCTCTTCAGATGGGTGGGCAAGCCTGTGGAGTGTGGGAGCATGTCAAGGGCACTTAGATGTGTATCTATAATATACCTTTGCAATTGAGCAAGCCTGGGCTGATTAATGGCTTACATGCCTAAATTATGTACTCATGCTTCACAGATGAAAGTACAGGTATCTGTGGTTTCTGGGCTTGATGCCTGTAGATGTATTAGCTACATTAGATTATTTTGTTGGTTTTTCTGGAGAAATTGAATTACTGAAGTGCTGTGTAATACAATTTACCAGGTTTTGAGTCTGTATACAATATTTTAATGTCTTCTCAGGCCTGCAGACCCTGTAGCTTTGTCTTTTTCTTTAGTTTTTGGTTGTTATTCTTACTGGGGTCAGAGGGCTGCAGTGATTGAGTGAAAGAAATGCTTGTATTTCAGGGACAAACTCAAGCATCTGAGAAGATATCATCTGCAATAATTTCTCCTTAAAATCCACTTGTTTTTTTAAACATGATAATATCACAGATTTGCATCAGGAAGTTATGGAAAATTATTAAAGACATTGAACAAACTAATGATCTGGAAAAGTAAATGTCCTATTGTATAGTTGTTTCTAGGGCATGGAAAGTGTTTGTATCTTTATCTGTCCATAATCTTAGCCTAACCAGCTATCCAAGGGAACAGACATCTATATAAACCACCTCACTTAAATAACAGATATGTTATTTAAAGGAATATTCACTAGATGAGAATAAAAGCAACAGAAAATGTTACTAAGGTAAACACTATAGGGCGGTCACAGTGCTGAGATAGATGCCAGGTGGTTGCACTGTTGACCAAACCACTCAGGGAGGATATTTACACTCCGTGATTCAAAGAGTTAACATGGAAAATGACTTATTGTCAAGACTAAATTATTTATATGATTGCATAAGGAATTAAGTTTAGTATAATGGACATGATCCCGTGCAATGTGCTCCAGGATGACCCTGCTTGAGCAGGGAGGTTGGACCAGATGACCCACTGTAGTTCCTTCCAACCTTACCCTTTCTGTGATTCTGTGACACTTTATGGGCATATGAAACATTAAGAGGAAGAGGAGCACTTCAAGATAGATGAGCCCAGCTCCTTCAAGTCATTGAAAGTTAACTGTCTTGGCAGCTACTGGGAAGACTCTTCATCAGCTTGTTTGCTTTTGGAAATAGCGCAATCCAGTTGCCCACCCAGTCTCTGATATGCTGAATGGTGCAAGGAGAGAATAAGCTCAGAGTAAACTCAAGGTTTGGTTTTATCAATGTTTTCTTCCATGGTAGTGTTGGTTTATTATCTCACCTTCTCTCTACCACATATACCTCTCACTGTGCTGCCCCTCTTTTCCTTTTTGTTTATTTATTTTGGCTGATTATTTTTAATTAGCATCAGTTCAACAAATTGCCATGCTGAGAGAGACATGCTGGCATTCCTGATTGAGGTGTGTGTGGGGGAAGGCTGCTTAAAATGAGCATAGGTGCTTTAAGAAAGGTTTTCAAAAGTACAGCCTGGAAGCAGGGAGGTGTTCATTAAAACTGAAAGACAGAGGTATGATTTTACCCAGGACAGTATTTAAGTCATTCTTGAAGAGGGGTTGCCAACTGTCCTAATGTGCTTCCAGATGGAGAGAATAATCTAACATTTCAATAGTTTTCACCGGTTGTGATAAGAAGGGATTAGCTGTTAAGGAATTAGACTAATAACTTGGATAAAGGAGGAGCTGAATACAGACTTAACCCAGACCTTGGACCAAATTAAACTTGAAGAAAAAGGTTTAAAGCAGAACGTTGGGATTTTTTTTTTTTAATATTTTTGCACATTCTAATATTGATCAAGACAAAAGATAGAAGTCATAATACATCATCCAAACCACCTTTGACAATCTTTCCTGCTGGTGGCTATGAAAAATCTTGCTTTTTTTCTTCTGTGGTTTCTTGTTTTTAAAAGGTGTCTGGATAGAGTCCAGAGCCAATATCCTAGCTGGCATATAGTGGCTTCCCTCTGAAGCCACTACAAGCAAGTGGCACCAAGAGAAGGTGTTCAGTGTTCTCCTGTTTAGCCATCTGCATTCAATGTCTTCCATTTCTCCCCAGAAGTTTGCTACAGAGCATGCAGATCTTCATCTTGTCAGTGAGACATGCTTCTGTATTACAGTTTTGAGCTGGATCAGACCAGACTCTTCCCGCTATAGGTACAGATCACTTGTTTTCACATCCAGATGAAAAGATCTTTCCCTCCCCTCCTCTCTCTGTCTCCATTGTAAATTCAAATGCTAAAGAGTGGTGGAAATTGCAACAATTCAGAATATCTAGGAGGCCTCTTCTGCAATGATTACATAATTTCAGATGGACATGCACATCTCTTAAACCTTGCCTAGGGAACTGTGTTGTGTAAAGACTCATAGACTGTATCAGTTTGCTCCAAACCTGTCAGTCCCAAACATCCTCAAGGGGATCATGCAGTGAAGTGAACACTACTTCATCAGCAAGAGAGGGATGGTTATTAAGGGAGGTACTATCTCCTGCTCTCTGTTGTGTGGGGAAAAAATAATACTTTCCCTTCTGTAAACATTTTAACATCTTAAGGAAAGAAACATATCTGAATCGATATAATTTCTAATAAAACTTTTACTTTCTGATAATTGCTTGTAAGACCCTGATGCAATTCACTGCACAGGTCTATAGTATGCAATACTCTATCTTGCCTGCACTAGCTTATAAAATCCATGTTTTCTATATATTCTTCTTAGTTTGTAGGGTTAACACCAACTCCCTCCCCCAATCCGGTAACAATTCTACATCTGCTTTGCTCATGTATGAGAACAATATTGAGCTGTTCTGCTAGCTTCTTTGCTCCCTTTTCCCTTCCACAAAGTTTTGAGGAATGTTATTCAAGATTATGAGATGTTTCACATTCTTTAAGCTGAAATTTGATGCTGCTAAGCCAAACAACTAGACCTTTGGGCAGTTAGTTCCTATTGCAGAGCTCCCCGATGATCCGGCTGAAATATTGTGTGAAATATAGCTAAATATTTTGGGGAGAGGGCCACCTTTGAAAGGTTATCTCATTTAAAAGTTTAGTGAGCTGGTGACAGGCATTTCACATAGCAAATCTACAAATTAAATTTGAGTTGCATATATATGACTCACTGTTCAGTTTTGTCTTAGAGTGAAGCCGATTCATTAAAAGTGTAGAAAAGTCAAGCTTAGAATCAGATACAACAAATATAGGCATACCTTTGTATAGGCAGTCCGCTCTTCTGAAAGAAAGTGAGATATTCTAGTTACTTGGTCAGAAAGCAAGCAAGCAATATGATTTTTGTGAAAAAAAGAACGCATTTGTGAAGAGAAATGTACTCCATAGACTTGGACATTGGCTAATTAATTTCACTGTTGTGGAGAAAGGAGGAGAATGCATTTGATGTCCAGAACGTTTTCTATATTTGAAAGGGGCAAAATAGCTTTTGGTCTGTAGTGCAAAACCAACCAGTTAGTAAAGAGCTGTACACCTATTTGGCATCATCCACCTTCAGTGGAATGTGTGTTAGGCAGTTTGCATAAGGACAGAGTCAAGCATGTGTGCAAAGTTAACTGGTTGGGCACATAATGGAAGGTCATTGAGAGCTGATCTAGTAGCACACCTGACTTATACAATGCCTTTCCTTTTGTCCTTGTGGAGAGCTGAATAGTGGTTTGCTGCCATGGAAAGATGGAAGGCTAGCTCCTCCCTTCCTGATTTGTCTTTACTGATGCTGACACTCATTGGACCAGGGTTTCTTTTTTATCCTTTTTTTTTTCCCTCCCAGGAAAGATTGCACAATTGCCTGTTCATTTAAGGAGCTGGACATAAAAAAAGAGGGGGGGCAATGAGTGGTAGAGCTAGGTAAGTGAAAATAAAGAAAAGAAATGGGACCTCCTCCTTTGGTAGAAGCAGACCTTAAGTTTGGCTCAGACAACTTAATACTTGGTTTTATTTGAGTTAGTAACGCCATTCAGTAAAACAGAACAGAGAACTTCCCTATCAGGAATAATCTTGTTGAAGAATTAAAGAGTGGGTTGAAAGAAAATAATCTTCAAAAACCCAATCCAAAACCAGATAAATTACTCAGTCTTGTTCTTCCTTAACCCCACCAACAGCTATACTGGCCCACCAGGGTGAATGGACAGGAGTGGGAGAGAGTGGCCATGTGCAGGAGTGGACTAGGCCAACCTGGTCACCAAGAGACAAGGCTGGAACTGACATCTCTTGCTGATAAGGAAAGAAAAATTTCTCTTCCTTTTGAGTGTAGAGTTGGTCTTTTCTATCAAAGGATCATGGCCCAGCTTGCAGTTCAGGTTAAGAACTGGGGTTTTTTATGTGTGCTGGGCCATGATGGACCAATGCTAAATATGATAGACTGAAAAAGAGGTTGCATCCTCCTATTTTTCTTACCTGGACACCCATCCATGGTGTAGGGCTTGGACGGGGGAGTCTCCTAGGCAGCGTAGAAGAGTTGGCTCTCCAAGAGTTTCTGGGTGGCTCATTGGGACTACCATAGCTGAAAGGATCTTCTTGGCTTGGAAGCTTTGATCTGGGTACGTCAGACTCTGGAGCTGGTGTAGTTGATTCGGACTTGGCTTTGGAAGACAATAATTTTGCATGGATGCAAGAAGGCAACGACAATGAGGAAATTGTAATGCACCGAGGTGGACTCTTACAAATGTGGTGGAGAGAGGCAGTGTATTCCTTTTGATTCCCCATGTCAGAACAGTCCTGAAGTGACAGTGCTTGTGAGGCAGAGGCCATTCTTAGACGCCTTAATGTTGGAGAAGTGGAGATTCTGGACAGAGCATGACGGTTGAACTGGAAAGGTGCATGGTGGCTCCCAATGCACTCCTCTGTTGGAGGTTTCGGAAGTGAAGACTCTGTATAACCTTGTCTTTGAATGTAGTCCCCTGGAGGCAAGGTAGTGTCCATACAAAGTGGTACTGCCTGCATTTCATAGGAACTGAAGACATCTTCTAGGCTGCTGCTTCCAGACAAAGAAACATTTTCTTTATGGAGATCAGCTTCCCTGTTTAGAAGTTCCACACTGGTGCAGATTTCTTTGATCAGGTCTGGAGAATAATCAGAGCTTGGTTGTTGCATTCTTAATTTGCAGCATTAAGATTTATAGCTATGCATACCTAGGAAACATGATCAGAAAACATTCTTATAATCTTGCCATATGACCTTTTAAATGGGAAAATATGCAAACTGAAAAAAAATTAAACAAAACAATGTAGATATGTGCACTAGTACAGAAACAATTACCTGCACATTGAATCCTGCTAAAATGAAGGTTTCTACAGTTTCAGGATCCAATTTTGGCAAGCTGTTTGAACAGCTGTTAACTTTGAGTCTGTACTCAGTGTCAGCATGGCTCAGTAGATCTAATTTGATCTACTAAAGAGTAACTGTGTCTAGAAACTCTACTCATGTGGCACTGCAAGCACGTAATTTCCAGTTGCCACTCCCCCATCGATAAGTAAGATTGTAACACCGCTGTACAAGGGATAAAAGTGAAGTCACTAACTCTCAGGACTTGCTGCAAAATTCTTGATGTACAAATACTAAATACCGAATTCTTAAGCAAATACAATTTAACAATTAGGTAAGATGTGTCTATTTGCTCTTGCTTTCTTTTCAATGGGTAAAGTACTTTGTAGTAAACATTATGTATAAGTTGTAATCAAATAAGGAAGAAAATTGTTTATATTAGTAAATTATCTGTTGATTGATCAGCATATAGTGTTATGTTCTGTGATTCATGAAGCTTTGTTCTAAGATATTTTATTGTCTAATCTCTAAAACCAGACTGACAATTCAAGTAATAATGAAGATTATGAATTTAGCCTCTTTAATTTAGCTTCTTTGCTAAGAGGACCCTTAAATCTGTCCATGATTGCTGGCCTATTTGAGGAACTTCCATTTATTAGAATTAGTTTACTCAAACACATTTTGACTGTCTTCTTGAATATCTCACATTGAATATGAATATGAATATTTTTTGGTCTAATTATGCAGTCAAATCGCATTGATTTTATAAAGTGATTAGAAACAAGTTATTTCATCAAGTTTCCTGGTTCAAAGTATTGTTTTTTACAAATTCTTCAGCCAGTAGAAGATAATAATTCAGATTCTTAAAGGAAGAAAAAGCACAATTCTTCATGACAGAAATGGATTCTTTTATATCTGTAGTGAATAGCCACAAATATATTAGAATCTATTAATTTGTCTTTAATAGATAAGAGCTAATTAACACATATGCTTATTGAAAATCACATTTCAGATATAGCAGAATGATAATAATAACAAATTACTACTATTTTCACCTTCTGAATGAAGGTATGATTGTGCACCATTGTTCTGAGATTTGGTGATATTGCTTTTTAATATTTCAAGACTTTTATTTTGTGAAATGAAATCACATCTCACTTATTGTTTGGCCAGGCATTCTCCTTGCTTTTTTATTTTTTTTTTTTATTTTTTTTTTTAAGTGATCATCCCTTCTCCCTTCTCCAGGCAGAATTTTGCAATTCAGCATGCAGTTTCCAGATATTCATGTGAAATGTTCTGTTGCAGAAGTAGAAAAGTTTAAAGATATTTCATGGAAATCTGATATTAAAAATACACTCATTTTTTACTTTTCAGTTTAGCAAGCTTTTTTTTAATAAGTCAAAACTTACGAGTTTCTTTAGGAGTACTTATGCGTTACTTTTACGAGTAGAATCTCTCAGTAAAAAAATATTTGTAAAGAAAATACACTGTTAAAAAAAGGTGCAGAAATATGCCATACACATGCAGAACAATTACGTGATTAAACTTACCAAAGCAACCAAGTGAAGTTTCACCAACTTCCAATATGTCACATCCTTTTAAATCTAATTTTCAAGAAGTGCTTGATTAACTGATGCTAGTCTTTTACCAGTAGCATTTTCTCTCTTAAAGCCTCCTTACTGAATGCTGGTAGAGGGAACGAGATTTTTTCTTGTAGATTTTTTCTAGGGGATTTGTTTATCAGGTCAGACAGAAGTGACTTCAGGATCAATGCCTGTAAACAAAAGGTAATATGCTCCATACATTTGATTAAACTTCATGCCTTTTATATATTTCTGGACTTTTCACATCGATAAAATTTGGAAAGAGAGATCTCAGGTAGGTATATAAGGAGTTACAAGAGCAGATTAAATGCTCTGCCCTCCAACAATCTTTTCCCCCCCCCCACTTGTCTTGATTCATTCAGCTGGATCTAACTAGGCATTGTTCATCCTTCATGGAGGTATAGTAGTGATATATCCCTAGGTTATACTATTTGCAATTAGTTTTTAATTTTAACAAATGTGCTAACTAGCTGAGTGATTTTGAACAAAAATTTTAGTACCAGAGTATTTGAGAATTCATCAAAACATTGATAATTCACTGTTTTGTTGTGTTGCAGAACTGATTAGAAACCATCAGAATTGATTTAAAGATTCTTTGGTCAGAAGAATTGAAAGTGAAACTTGGGAAAATATGGTTTGTTTGATATATAACTTGGGAGGAAGTAGTAACTCCTACAAATCTTCAAATCTGTTCTGTAACTAACACACATTTTCAGAGGACTTAGTGAACACTTGCAAGTGTAGACAACCTTTGCAGTACAATGTTTTCATTTTCTAATTTTTTTTTTCAAAACTCACCCACAAACCAAATCAAGATACCCCAAAATTGGTATGAGTAAATGCCTTTGATTTTGCGTAGCAATGGATGTGTCCGTGGATTATTCTGAGAGAAAGAAGTGAGAAAACAAACTCAAAGACTTTATTTGCAAAACTGTGACAGTATTACAGTATTTGTATTAGTATTTATCCAGTTTGTTTCTAAGAAAAAGAGATGCGCTCACCCTGTCTGAGAGTTGATAGTACAAATGTATTTAGTTTAAGAAGGACTTTTAGGAACATTAGACTTTTTCTCCTTCTTTTTTCTTTTTTTTTTTTTTCTTTTTGGTGGGGAGATTGGAGGAGGCTGTTTTTGGTTTTTCATTTGGTTGATTTTTGTTTTGTTTTGACTCGTACTGCTCTCAAGGTGATATTAGTTTCAGGATCCGATGAAATGGACAGACTTTGTTGCTTGATAAAATATGCAAATGTCTGGAGATTTTAAAGTGTTCAAAACTGCCCTTTCCTACCCCACAGGAAAGACCTGGGCGCACTGCAGCTGGCAAACTAGAGTGGTGAGAATCTCCAAGTACAGCCTCGGGGGGACAGGGGCAGGCAGTCAGCAAGCAAAGATACCCTTCCTGGGGGAAAACCACCTCTCTGTTGGGGAGAGTGAGTGGTATGCCCTCTGCTCCTGGCATTCTTTACATTTTTGTGTGGTACATCAACAGTCTCTTCTGCTGTCTAATCGAAATCTTTCCTGTCCTGTAAAGCTGCTGCTCTGATTTTACCCCCATAGATTCTGATATGAATGTATCTACGTGGCCCTTTTCAAGCACCAGTCCCCACATCAGTACAGGATCTGCCAGACCAGACATTACTCTATTCCTTAGCTCATAGAAGCCTAATCTAAATCTAACCCAAACTTCTGAATGTCTAAGCATTCAAATAGTTTGAATATATTCAAATAGTTATTCTGTTTGCTTGCATGCAATTCAGAGGACAACAGAGATTGCTGGGCTAGAAAGAAGGCTGTATGTTTCTCAGATACCAATACCTATACTGGGGCATTGATAGCTGCCATGTGGAATTCTTTTTGAAAGAGAGAGTTGGGTAGATATTACTAAAAGAAAGAAGTTAGAGTACTAGCCTAAGATCAGGGCTCATTTGAACTACTTTCTGACATATAGTGCTGGGTCTGGTTTAGGTGGCTTTGGGTTTAGTTAGGCAGAAACTTTGTTTTGAGGTCATTTTTTATCAATTAATTCTGACTGAGACCATGGAGGGTTTTTTTTGTTGTTGTTTGGTTGGTTGGTTTTTTAAATTCTAGCTGAGACTTATCCTTGATATGATCAGTATACTTGAATTAACCTACTAGTTTACATAAAAAAGAAGTTATTCTATTTCTTTCCCATTTGCTGATGTTATAAATTGAAAACTATATCTAACCTCCTTTACCTTAAAGGTTTAAGCACTTCTCTGGTGTAACTTGGGGGCCTAGGGGCCCAAGTTATGGGGTGAATGGATGTAGGTGAAATCATAATTGCCCTCATTTTCCCCAGAATTCACTGGCACTGCTTATCTTGCTCAAATTTCAGCTTTCTGTCAACTAACTTTACTCCAAAATGCACCTCCAATCTGAAGCTAATCAGTTGTCTTTTATGCATCCTTTTCTGTTAGTCTCCCTTGAGCATAGTCAGTGCTTCAGTTCTTTGACCTTTGCTGACATGGACTGTAGTGCCTTAACCATGATCTTTTAACCAGCTGCAGGATTTGTTAGGTGACTCCTACCAGGGTTAATCTCCAGATTAGACCTATGTGCCTTTATGGATCAAGATGATACTTCATGTCAGTGATCTCTCCTAACTTTGAACATAACTAAGTCTGTCCTAAGCATTTTCTCCAGCCCTACTTCCCTGTTTTTTCCAGAAATGCACACAGCCAGATGTCCTCACTGGCCTCTGCAGTCACCTTCTGAACTTGCCTATTAATCATGCTGCTAAGCTTCTGTATGCTGAAACCTTATGCTCTGTGTTACCTCAGCAGTGTAGACCAATAGCTGCTCCAGCCAGTTCTCTCTCCTTTCACCTGGAAGGCCACTTTTTAATGTAGGAGATCCCCAGATTTTCTCTGCCCAACTCTTTATCCTCTCATTTGGTTTACCCTTAGCATTAGGGTAGCCTCATTTGTTTGCCAGAACACTAACTCTATCCAAGCAGACCAAATGTGTTCTCAACTTTGCTGCCTTGCCTCTTAAGAGCAAAGCAATTCTGATAATTTATTGTCTTCTACCTTATCTAACCCAAAACTTAGGCTGAGCTGTAGCCTTCAGGCTGATATACCTAAACAGATCTCTAGAGAAAAAGTGAAGCTTAGTCTCAGGGTAGAGAAATAAATGAGTGCAGCATTATCTAGAAGTGCCTCACAGCTCTGTCATGGACCTCTCTGCAGCTGTAACACACCTAGCTG